TTTGATTATGCCTTTAATTGATTTTTCTGTACATTTCTGCCATATGTACATAAACTGACAGTCAACACTGATAAGCTACTAGTAAATATTGTAGAAACTTAATTTTCTGTAACATTGCTTTGCAACGATTTGTATCATGAAAAGCGCTATACAAATAAACTTGAATTGAATTGAATATGAGACGCGTGACAAATGAAAACAATATATGTTCTAAAATTGGCTGAAAATATCAAACATGTTTAATATCCTCCGATTGGATGGAATCATAGTCTGAAAAATCATAGCTAAAAAATCGGAGTCTGTGACCATCATACACCACGCAATTTTCTATGAAATCTGTCAACTCAAATCTGTAGACTGGTTCTGACTTTCGGCAAGTAGCATCAACTTCTCCAAACTGTAAATCAGGGGAAAATTGGGGCAAAAATCATGTAGTGTATTCCAGGGTTAAGCAGCATGTATGTGAGTTTGTAGGCAACGTACCATCAAGGTAAGCAAAGTCAGTTTATTATTTCATAATAAATGTAATAATAATAATAAACTTTACACAGTCACTGAACTGAACTTAAACAACTATCTGGAGTTAAATAACTGCAGTGCTTTACAATTATAGGACAGGAAGAGCTAAATAAACTTATCACTGCATCTAAACCAACAACATGTTTATTAGATCCTGTACCCACTAAATTACTGAGCCATAGCACAGAAACGGCACTTGTTAAAATTACAAATGACTCGCTTCTTGCGTTAGACCAAGGCTGCATCTCATTGCTAGTTTTACTTGATCTTAGTGCTGCATTCAATACCATAGAATAGATCATGACATACTCATAGTTCGATTACAAAACTAAAGTAAAGTATGGAGTGCCACAAGGATCTGTCCTAGGTCCTCTGCTATTTTCAATATACATGTTACCCCTTGGTAATATTATTAGAAAATACGGGATTAGTTTCCACTGTTATGCTGATGATACTCAACTATATATCTCAACAAGTCAATGTAGGCTTCAGACACGGGTCACGACGAGGCATTCCCCATAGCGACCCCTAGAGGACGCAGTGTCTCGTTCCCCTCAGGGAACCATGGTTACACAAGTAACCTGAGACGTTCTGTCACTTTCCTGCTTAATACTGTGAAGCTGCTATAAAAACAGTCTGTATTGTATATTAAGCTTAAAAAAAAGATGAAAAAAAAAAGGATTTCATGGATCCATCCATGGGCTGATTTGGTGCTCAATTATTATCAGTTAGTATTGTTCTTATTATTATCAATGTTGAAAACAGTTTTTTTGCTGCTTAATATTTTTGTGGAAACCGTGATACGTTTTAGGGCTCTTTGAAATAATATTTTTTTGTAACGTTATAAATGTTACTTTTGAATTTAATTCTTTTTAATGCATCTTTGCTGAATGTAAGTATTGTTTATTTTTAAATCTCACCTCAAACTTTTGAATGGTAGTGTATCACAGTTGTAAACATTGATCAAAATAAGAAATGTTTTTTGAGAACTAAATCAGCATATTAGAATGATTTCTGAAAAGTCATGTGACACTAAAGACTGGAGTAATGACTGCTGAAAATTCAGCTTTGCCATCACAGAAATAAATTACATAAAAAAATATATTCAAATAGAAAAGTTATTTTAAATTGTAATAATATTTCACACTATTATTTTTTAATGTTTTACTGGAATTTTACTGTATTTTTGTAGCATTAGAGACAAAAAAATTGACTAACTAAAAATCATTGACATTAAAAAATCCTAATGAATCCAAACTTTTGACAGGTAGTGTAAATACACATTGCAGTGAAAATAACTAGTCTACCAAGGAGAAAAGCTGTATCAGATTTTTATTTGCTACAAGGGGTTTTACATTTTTAAATGTCTGAATTCAAAAATCTAGGAAATATAGAGAAAATATAGGAACATATGTAATTACAGACTGAGAGCAGGTTATAAAAAAATGGGTGAAGACAAATTAAATAATGAGAACATAGAATAAATTAACTGTTGTCTACATTTATGATTATTATATGAGTAAATAAAGGTTCCCTTATGCTTGTGAATGTAAAGTGCCAATGCACACAAAAAAAAAAAAGTTAAATATTTTTGGGGGAAAAAAAGTCTTTCTATACATTGCTTTTAATAGTTGTTTAATTTAGTTATTTAAATCTTATTATAAAATTGTTCTAGAATTTAGAGGTTTGTGTACAGGAAACAGATTTTTTTTAACAAATACATGTTTATTTATTAATACCAATAATGTCAGAATGTATTTAAATTTGAAAACCATTTCTCAAGCCCTGTAAATATATATTGTTATGACCAGATGTGAATTGCACCGTCAGAGCCTGCAGATAGAAGGTATTCCCCTTTATGGTCAAAACTGACACTCTGAACGGCATCTTCATGAGCTATTACACTCGACATATGTAAAGACAACACTTCTACTAGTTTAACAGTGCCATCATTACTCGCCACCACTAGAATTCTTCCATTTGGATTGAAGGCCACTTGATTGCTGGGATGAGGCCCAGTGTCTATGGTCACCATTGCTGACACATTCCTCACATCCCATAATTTGACCACCCCAAAAGAGTCGCACGAAGCAACTGTGTCACCTGTGGCATTGAAGGTTGCGTAGTTGCATGAATGCTTGTGCCCGTAGAAAGTCTGGGCACACAATCCAGCACGGGCATCCCAAAGAGAGAGGGTCTTGTCTGCTGAGCAGGTAAGTAGAATGTTTGAGAAGGGCAGGAAAGAAATGCTGTTCACCGAGTCAACATGTCCACGCAGAGTCCAGCGGCAACGCTCACTATTCAAGTCCCACACTTTAGCCGTGTTATCCATAGAACAAGAGGCCACAAAATCACCACAGGAATGGAAGGAACAGGCCCAGGTGGTGTGAATGTGTCCCTCCAAACTGAGCACACATCGACATTGAGCAAAGTCCCAAATTTTAACTGTGGTGTCCCCACTTGTGGTCCCCAGGTAACCACCGCTGGGATGGAAACTACAGGATGACAGCCAATCAGTGTGACCTTTGCCAGTCATGATCATCTCTCCCTCTGGTATTCCCCATAATCTCCAAAGCTGGTCATCACTTGAGGAGGCTACTATCATTTTACGGGGATGGAGAGTGAGGAAGCTCACTGCCATTGTGTGTGCTTTTAAAGACCTGAAGAGAGAGAAGTTGGCTGATTTGGTGTTTAGTGAGGAAAGAGCTTTGATTTGCGGCAAGTAGGGATTGACTCGAGTGCTGGTTGGGAATTCAGAGTCTTTAGGATGCCTTGTGTTTTTGTTGGGGTCTTTTATAACATCATTTGATGCAATGTTGTCACATGACAGGTGTGCACCTTTTTCTGGACTCTTCTGTATTTTTTCTCTTTGATGTGGTGTGTTAGGGGATTTTAGAGCTGTTCCGGTTCCTGGGAAAGAATGTGCGGTACGTAGAGAGCTGTCTATGTTCTGAACCTGGCTGACAGCTCTGTCTCTCTCCAGACTAACCAGCATCTTCTGCCTCACAGCTGTCTGATACTTCTCATTTAGTTGTCTAAGAGCAGGATCGTAGGATGCATAGTGTTTCTTCAGCTTTTTAATGTCCTCAATAAGTCTATTCTTCTCTTGAACAACACGCTTGTGCTGCATCCTATGGAAGTCCCTCTCTCTTTGAAGTTTTACTATGGTTTCTCCAGCTTCAAATGCAGCCTGTTTATAACTATCCCGCTCTCTTTGTACGTTTTTCAGCTCGTTGTCCAGGAGCTGGTTGTGCGTATAGACATCAGGGACGAGTTGCATTACGTCTGTTTTCATTAAGCCTTTGTGTCCCATCTCAAACCACTCGATTTGGAAGCAGTCTAATGTTCTTTTCATACCCATTTTTACCAGATAATTGCGGAGAAAGTCGTCCACCACCTCAGGTATTTTAAGAACGGGATGTTTCGCCGAACTGACCCTCTGAGTCTGTGTTGTGCATTCGGTGGCATCAGTTTGATCCCGCACTGCTTTAACAGCAGTTTCCAAGTCCTCTTCCCCCTCAGGTATGCTGAGTTCGTCGTCGACAGTCACTTCGTCGTATTTATAGTCATCCTCAGAGTCTTCTGGAATTAAAACTTTCTCGAGGTAATATGGACCGTCAACGGCTTCTTCTGCTACCTCGTACCTGGCTGCCATTTTTCACGTCTCTTTGTTGTGCCATACAAAGTTGTATATTGTTTCCATGGTGACAATGTGACGGTGACCAGGAGTATAAATACTACGATGTAAAGATAGTTCCATGATATTTTTACGTGTTTTATTTAAAATGCACCTATGGATTAAATTATAAAATATATAAAATTGACACAAAACTATAAACTATAGTTTTATACAAATGTAATAAAGCAATACACAGTAGATGGCGCTCAAGGACCAGTGAACTGAGCGAATTCCAACACTAAACCGGTTTTTAAAACACAATCTATGACAGGTAAAGAATTGTGTCTTTGGAATAGTATTCTCATTTCTTTCTTTCTTTCTTTCTTTCTTTCTTTCTTTTTGCTTCTTTAAATGTGCACGCAAATTCAGGGGTAGGGAATAAAAGCACGGTAGGTTTTTTAGTCAATACAATTGGTTATAAGCAATACAAGCAATATTGATAATATATTTTAATATATAGCCTATTCAAACAATATAATAATAATGCCTATTATTATTATTATTGACATTCTAAAGTAGTAATGGTTACTATGAAATCTGCTAAATGTGTAAATAAGTTAAGAATTGAAAAAAGTTCGAATTTTCAGACAAAACGATAAGTACCTTTAAACTGAATCACACAGTCTGACGAGGCAGAGCCTTTCACCTGAGAACCAATCAGATGCTGTAGCTGAGTTTTGGAAGCTGAAGCATCAGTACAAATGTCGGCGTGCGCTAGCTTTTGCAAGGACCAGTCAACGAGAGCACCAGGACGCGCGCCCAAGGATCACTGGTTTCTGTAGCCTTCATGAAAGCCAGAGATATGAGCAACGAAGCAGAAGGGGATAATCCAGACCAAACAAACTGCAAATGTAAATCACCTACTCTGTTGTCCTCGTACTGCATCGACAGTATTCTAGGAAGGAAAAGTCCCTTAAAAGTTAAAGGTTAGTTGTTTATTCTTTAATTTTGTGTTTCTGTTTTAGTTGCTTTTACATAGCCTATATATTGTCCACTGAATTGCATTTTTTTTTTTTTGTAAACTCATCAATAGTTTTCAATTGCTAACTGAAGCTACTGCCTTACATTAGAATTTATTTGAATGGTCTACTTGAAATAGGCTAAGTTCATTACAGTGTCCGTGAATCAACTACTGTATAGCCTACTATTAGCTATAATTAATTACAATAACAATTTGCAGTTACAAGTAGGCTATAGCGTAGGCTACTCATTAAATACGAAACAGGCAGGTTATTAAATTATAGTAGCCGGACACTAAAAGTGGTCTAGCTATTAGATGATTATTCTATAGGAAGTTTAATTAGATTTTCAATATTCGTATCTTTAACTTAATTTATCCTGTTGATAATTATTTAGATAAATTATTTTTGCTCACAGCAACACCAAACAGTTTGTGGCCCCTTCGACCAGACATGCACCTGCCGCCGAAGCTCCGCCGCCCCTTCGCCCCGTTGACAGACTCTTCCAGAGACATTCACACGGACGAAAATGAAGCAGCGGGCCCAAGACTGCTACACACAGCTTGTGAAAAATTAAAAATTACAGAGGCCTCGCTAGTAAACATCAGTCGTGCTAGATCGTATCAGGAACATGCTTCTCTACAGTCCTGTAGAGAGGCATCCAGTCCCACGCCAAGACCGGAGGAGGAAGAAACCGACAATGAAAGACTAGAGACAACTGAGTCTCCGGGTCAAATGAGACTGCAAGAACGACATGCATATTTGAAGAACCGTGAGGAAACTACTTTATCAGCGGGAAGTGACACTGAAGATGGGATGTTAAAACGAAAACAGAGGAGATACCGGACCACATTTACCAGCTATCAGCTTGAGGAGCTGGAAAGAGCTTTTCAAAAGACTCACTATCCAGATGTTTTCACAAGGTAACGCAACTCCAGGCACAACTTGTAGACGATAATGCTTTAATATTATGCAAATATATATATAAAACTGATTCGTTGATGGTTGGAAGGCACCATCCGTCACATCTTCAAGACAACATCTTCATCATTTTCAATACTAGTATATTAAAATCAGCCATATGAAAATTGAATAGGCTTAAATGAAAAAAAAAGTCCTACAAAAATAATTTCGATTTTATCAGTTGTATTTATTTTTCATTTTAATCCTATAAATTCTTTTTTTTTGTCGCTGATTCTTTTCGTTACAATACCTTTACATTAACAGTTTCAATAGCACAGGACCTGTTAGAATTTGTATATTTGTCACGAATGTAAACGAATAAATATATATATTTTTTAATTTTAGCAAAATTCATTGTCAATCTTAGTAAAAATCGAGATAAAGACACTCGACCTAGGCTACAACTTGTTTTTTCTCTCTAATTTAAGGGAGGAATTAGCGATGAGACTTGATCTTACAGAAGCTAAATGAAAAAAAAAGTCCTACAAAAATCATTTCGATTTTATCAGTTGTATTTATTTTTCATTTTAATCCTATAAATTCTTTTTTTTTTGTCGCTGATTCTTTTCGTTACAATACCTTTACATTAACAGTTTCAATAGCACAGGACCTGTTAGAATTTGTATATTTGTCACGAATGTAAACGAATAAATATATATTTTTTTTAATTTTAGCAAAATTCATTGTCAATCTTAGTAAAAATCGAGATAAAGACACTCGACCTAGGCTACAACTTGTTTTTTCTCTCTAATTTAAGGGAGGAATTAGCGATGAGACTTGATCTTACAGAAGCACGAGTGCAAGTAAGTCACTTTCTTATTCACTATTAATCTGTTCACTTTCACTGTTCACGACTGGGCACAACATACCTCAACAAGAAGCATAAAAAAAATCACATCAATGAATTCTAAATTCTTAAGGTCACCGTTAACTCTATTACATTTATATTGCATGCATTTTTTATTATTAAAATTCTACATTAAGCCAGCAACAATTCATGCGCGACAGGCTATCAGAAATAAAAGATTCATATTAAACATACAGCCATTCGTAAACGAATGTTCGATATAGCCTATGGAAAAAGCACTGTAAATCTGTTATATTACGTCAGATTTATATAACAGGGAAAACGGCACAAGATAAGATGTTCGTTTATTTAGCTGTTTTGGATAATCGCATTTTATTTATTTATTTACTTATTTATTTATTTTTTAAGAAACTAAAGCAAGCCATATACTTGCACACATTTTGGCCTAGAAAGTTTCTCTTAACATTTCCACTAAATATATATTTTGGACCCCCTTTTACCTTCATCAGTAAACAACTCTGTGTTAAAAGGGACAGTTCACCCAAAAATGAAAGTTCTGTCATCATTTACTCAATCTCCAAGTATGACTTTCTTTCTTCTTCGGGATTACAAAAGAAGTATAAACATTTCAACAGTTTTTTCCCCATACAATGAAAGTCAAAAACCTTTGGACAAACATTGGACCACACTGACTTTCATTGTAGTGTTCATTTTCTTGTGTTCCATAGAAGACAGAACATCATAAAGGTATGGAAAGACTGTGAGAGTGAGTAAATGGCAGAATTATTCTTTTTTTGGGGTGGACTGTCCCTTTGCGGATATTCTCAGAGATGCAAAAATAAAACAAATTCTTGTAATACCCAACATTATTCTATTTAAGACTAGTCTATAAAACAGGCCTTAATTTTTATGGCGACTTTAAGGGGACAATAGCTTGGTGTGACAATATTTCTTTACTAAATGTACAATTTAAAAACAACAACAACTCGTAACTACTTGTAATTGACAAAAGCATTGTTTCCTCTCAAGGTCTGGTTTCAGAATCGACGAGCAAAATGGAGGAAAAGGGAAAAGGCGGGGGTCCAGTCACACACTCTGAGCCTACACTATACTGGAACCCCCCCTGCTGCACAGTCCTTGTGTCATTACCTGAGTGGGAATACTTTTGTCCCAAACCCACATCCTGCTATTGATTCATCTTGGCCTGCCCCCCTCCAAAGACTGGCTCAGCCTCCCCCAAACCCTGCCTCCCCTCATGGCTTCAGTGCTCTGTTAGGAGCGGCTATGTTTAGACATCCCGCTTTTATTAACCCCACTTTTGGAAGGTGAGGTTCATCTGCATATTCAACACAAGCCATTGTTTATTTATCTTTACCTTATACCTTTCACACTTCATAATGGTTATAATATTCTGTTACATTTCTCATCAGACTTTTTACAAGTTTAGGTCCAATGGGACTGCAAAGGATACCCCTTCCTGCCATCGAGGGTCCAATTCAACGCTCCCACCTCACCAACAACCTTTTCTCCTCTTCACCACCCTTACCTTCATCTCCAACAGTGGACCTCCGTGCTTCCAGCATAGCAGCACTGCGTCTCAAAGCAAAGGAGCATTCTGCTCAGCTGACTCACATCACAGCTGCTGGAATGGCTGGAAAAGAGGAGTGCTAAGACTCACTCTCACTTGAGAGATGGCAAAAGACCAAAGTCAAGCAGAAGCACTGATATCTGGAGAGTTATTAATAGATACATTAATAAACACATGTAGTTTTCAGTCTGTGGAAGTCGAACTGTAGCATTCTAAAGCTTTTTTCGTTAATTTATTGTTGGTTGTTAAAGAATGCTGAATATTTTTTTTTTCTTCATTGTTGAATGATCCTTTTAAGTTATTTAATCCCGTTTTGCATTAGTAAATGGATACATACAACAATCAACAAACAGCCATATATATAACAAACCAACAGGACAAGCTGCTTTTAATCTGTTACATATTCAACACTTTTTCAAGGTTTGTTCTGTAACAGTAAAAGGGATGTTTTACTCTATATGTTTTTATTCTGCATCATACAGTATTAGGAATTTGTTTAAGGCTGCACTTTCTGTGTTCGCAGAATAGTACTAAAATAGTTTTGGTATGGTTATGTTGCCATGCATTACAATGAGCTTTATTTATATTTTGTTAAACAGATGAGCCACCATTCAGGGAAATAAACAAAATATCCATATGCTTCTCTTGATGAATTAGCCAGGGAAAATAAGATCATGTGAAAGTAAAAAAACAGAAAAAGTTTTGTGCTGTCTTAAAATTCCTTCTGTATTTAATAATGCTTTAAATAAATGGATGATGGACAGGTAACAAATTTATAAAGGTTTACTGTGTAAATTCCTGACCTTGTAATCTGAATTTTTAAATGCTTTGCATCATTTTATAGCCAAAAGAAAACCAATTATTTTTGCACAAAATAGCGTTTTCAAGCAACCTTTCTGCAACCACAAAAGTTGCATTTCAACATTATTCCGAATTGTGCTCTAAATACGCGTCTTTAGTTGGCGGATGTGGACTATCGGTGTTTTGGTTGAGCGAGAGGAACTGAACAGATTTCGTTCAGAAAATTATTGACGGAATTTCGAAAACCCCACGATAAACAAAATGTTTCTGTTTCCCTCAGTAGAAAGTGCTGCATGTAAATTTCTCCCCAATCACAGCAATAGCAGGTATCTCCGCTGGCTACACCGTGAAGGGGAGCAATCAGGGATAATTGAGTGCCTTTCAGAGGGAGCCTGGAGCATTCACTCCCATTCAACACCCGTCCATTCACCACATAATCACTCTTTAAACACACCCAATTTTCTGGGGAGCAAAGTCCTGTTATAATTTTGCTTAAGTGTATACGGAAATCATACCCCCTTTGAGCCGAGATAATTGAAATCAAATCCTTTTCATGGCTACTGACATTTTTGTGCTGCCAATTCAGTGTAATTAATTGTTGAAAATTGAGCCTGAATATCGCTAAATAGATGGCTATTATGTTTTGAAAGGGGTGAAATGATCTACCACGCAGTGTGGAGACGTCAATGTGCACTTCAGTTAAATGTCTTTGTTTCCCACACTGTTTGCTTTGTAAAGATTAACATAAATTTACTCATAGCATAAGTTTTACTTAGGTCTTAGAGGATGGACCCCTTCTTCTTATTTATTCTTTGAGCACTTCAGATGACAGCTATTTCTGTATGATTTTTCTTCATGAATGTCCTGTTCTGTGCAGCTGTGCTTAGGACGGTCACAAATGGCTCATTAGTTCATTAGTTTACAACTAAACTTATTTTTCATCAGTTGCATATGAGGAAATTTTACATAACATGATTCATTCTGTCATAATCTAAATGAGTGAAACGAATGAAAGTGCTCTGGGTTGCTAAGAAATTGTCATTTTAAGTGTACCAAAAAGAATCATATTCAAAAGTTTAAAGAAACATTTTATTTTAAATTATATTATATTATATAGACCATAATTACATTCTGGATTCTCTTTTATGGGGTTTATTTCTGACTTATTGATATGATTGTTATGCATTTAACATATCTTAAATATGATCACATCTCCCTTTTTTCTTTTTTGATTTGCCCATAAACCCTTTTCTTTTATGTATATTCATTTGTTTTTGATTGGTCAGAACCGCACTTTGTTTTCCGTATTCCTGTGTTCTAAATTCAGATTGCTTTGAAGCTGCATTCTCACTTCCATCATTCCACTATTTGCTCATTTACTCGTGTTCTCTTGCTCTCGCTCATTCTCTCACCGGTACTTCTAGAGTCATTTGAATTCTGGTGTGACTCCTACTGGGTTGAAACTATTCATAGCAAATGGAGCAAAGCAAATTCATCATTTTTCATCATAACATATATTGTTGACACCCATGCTCACATAATGGCAAGGCGATTATTTATAGATAGCTATATCTGAAGTAAAGAATTTGATTTGAAAACAGTCAAAATGGACCAATCAGTGATCAGCTGACTGAAATCAAGATTCACATTATGGACCGAGCCAATGGGACCAGTGCCCTGGGGTCTCTAAAATAATTTTGTTGCTGTATTACTAAGGTTCTTAAATCCAAAAGACAATTTTTTGACCTCTGTCTCTGAATTGTTTTAGGGTTAACTCCATGTGTTCCTTCAGCTGGCCATTTCTCAGGTCAGAGGTCAGAACTTCATCACCTTCATGCAATTGCTCCACACAAGAAAAAAATCTTTCTCACCCTCTCCATTGCTCTCTTAGCTTCACCTTCCCCAGTCGTGCTTTGTTCTGTGTCAGTTTCCATTGCAACAAATTACACAATAGCTCTGATATGAAGTCATTGTAAAAGTGATTGCTAGCCTTTGAAAATCAGTGATAGCAAGTCAATCAGCTGCAGCACTCAAACCGACTCTAGTGTGATTACCTGAGAGTGTGAAGTGTGAGGGGTTAGGGCCTCTGTGCTCTGCCAGGGTTACATAATGTCTCTTTTGAGGCCTTTTCTGTCCATCAGTGTGAGAGTGATGGAAATGACAAAAATGTGGATTGCTCATTTAGGATTTTAAAACACTCCCTCATTGGTTAGTTGCTTAAAATCATTTTAGGTGTGTAAAATTTGGATTACATGCAGGGCATTACATTTATCTTTCATCCTGAGGGAACTGAGAGGCAAATATATTAATACAAAACATAGGATTTCACATCACTGGTGCTGTCATTTCTGACAAGGAACCCTTATGTTGTTCCAAACCTGTATGACTTTTCATCTTCTGTGGAAAACAAAAGACGACAGGCTATTTTATAGAGCCTTTCAACTGTTTTGTGCATACATGAAAGTCAGTGGAATCCAAAACAGCATTGGATGCCACAGATTATACTCAATGGGCAATACATACATATTTTTTTTAAATATCTACTTATTTAATATTATACTTATATCTGCTTATATCTACTTTTGCAATACTATTACTTTAAATTGAGTGTGTGCATGTATGGCTACGTTCACACTGTCAGTGGTTGGGATTAAAGGATTAGTTCACTTCCAGAATAAAAATATCCTGATAATTTACTCACCCCCATATCATCCAAGATGTTCATATCTTTCTTTCTTCAGTCGAAACGAAATTAGTTTTTTGAGGAAAGCGTTCCAGGATTTTTCTCAAATAGTAGACTTCAATGGTGGCCAATGGGTTGAAGGTCCAAATTGCAGTTTCAGTGCAGCTCGAAAGGGATCTACACGATCCCAGCCGAGGAATAAGGGTAGGGCAGATATGAGCATCACGAATCACTGAATCAAGCTCTACTTAATTAATAGTAAATCTTTTGGTGTTTGCTTGTTTCTCACTACATCTAATTTTTCAGTTTGAGCATCTTTCTCTATCCTTTTATTTCCACGTATATTGTTTACATTTATACAATTAAGAAAGACATTGCCCCTTTCCTCTATCAGCTTAGCAGGCAATGTTAATTTATCTTTTGTGGGTTGACAATATACAAGCTAGACTAGTCTAACCACTGTGACAAAAAGACTTTTCCTTGAGAGACAGACCACACGTTCAATCTAGCATCCTCACTTTCAATCCCCTTACTTACTGTGTCATTCAGATGGAATTATACCTCCTTTCCTAACCACTGCTGCCCAGCTGGTGCCCACGGGCAATTAGCCCAGTAAGCATAATTGCAGTAATTTGTTAAGCGCTATGGCAACCTCCATTTAGGCCAGAGATAAATATATGTCTCCATGTGTGCAAGACTTTTATTTATGTTCAAGACCAACGTACATAGAGCTCGGGAATGTATATATTCTAATGTAAATTTGTATTTGTCCTAGTAGAGAACAGAGAACTGCTAATAGGAACAGTAACCGGATGTCCAGTATAGTTAATACCAACACTGATTAATGAGTGTCTTTAGACAGTGTTCTCAAAAAACGTACTGACTGTCGTTATTCAAATACTACCGGCGCTATGAAGATTACTCTTGTCTTCTTGTCAAACAAAAGAGGATATGCTAAGGGGAAAACCATTCATCTTAGAAATAGTGATAGGATGGCTGTCTTTGCCTGTTTGTCTCCTAGCATTACTGTTAAACAAAAGCGGTTACAGTGGTTTACCACATTTAAAGGTCTAATTCATCCAAAATTGACCCGTTTACTGACCTGAATGTTGTTCCAAACCTGTATGACACTTTTGTCCACACAATGAAAGTCAATGGGGTCCAAAACAACACTGAGCCCCGTGGACTTTATTGTGTGGAAAGAAAAAAAACACTTGGATGTTGTTCAAATGTTCCATAGAACAAAGAAAATCGTATTGATTTAGAACAACATGAGGGTGAGTAAATGATTACATTGAAGTCTTACATAAAAGATTACTTTTTTTTTTTATGGTAAACTATCCCTTTACTGACAATTGCTGTGTTTGAAACAATGTTGCATACTACATACTATTTTACCACTAAAGGATTTTACATAATGCAGAACACAGATCACCACACAACATGTATTTTCTTGATGCTGAATCAAGAATCCAAGTTGATAGTGTTAAAAATGACCACAGCTAGCAGTGCACACTTCCAAAGAAGAGTGATCAAGAGCATCAGGGCAAGGGCAATCTGTGAAGAGATGGAAAATAAGGGAAATCTTTATCATCAGAC